AATACTTTATCGAAGGAATCCCAGACAGCAAGATAAACAAGAGCAACCTGTATCAGGCGAGAAACTTCAACGAGCTGAAGGACCAAGTAAATATGTACGAGAAACTTCAAGGAGCTGAAGGGCCAAATAAATATCTACGAGAAGCAGTGGCCTAGCCAGAGGGGGGATTGGGGGATAGACCCCCCTTCGTCAATAAACCACTACTTTTTTTTACTTTTGATTTGGTAACACAACACCATTTTATCATTCTGATTTGTAATTTTTTTATATCATACTTATAACAAAATACATGTTTATAAATATTTGAGGTTATCCGTTATTGGATTATGCATGTGTCGGGATGGCCGTTTTAAATACAAATCAAAACACATATACTCACAACGATTAAGTTGTATTCAATAGATTTAGGTTTATATAAGTAATTTATTTTAAGAAATGGAAAAAGTAATGTAATTGATTGATGAGCAAATATTCGTCGTTGCTTCGCTGACATTTACCGACTACACTCTTGCAAGCATGCCCACGGTTGCCACAAGCTTAAAAAAAAGTTACCAAAAAGATCAAAAAAAGTTACAAATAAGTTACCAGAACTTAAAAACGCAGTTTTGTTGATTCAATGCACAAAAATAACAAGTTATGTTACATACGTACATGTATGGAATTCTTTAACTTGACAAACATAACAGTTCAGTTGGTATGCTTAGCATAAATACTGATTAATAAATAGATAAAACGATTTGTACATACATATGTACAAAATAAAATCAGGTAGCGAAGAAAATATATATACTTATTTAGTCTTTTGGTGTCCAAATATACCTAGCCTCTGTACTACGGCACAGTTCTTTTGCCCTCATTATATTATTTATACTATAAAATTCAAGTTTATTTCTTAACTTTGTTTTAACTAAACTTAGTTCAAGCAAGTAAGAAAGTCTATGTTCCGGCAGAGCCGAATATTAAATACCTGGCGCAAGTATTAAATATATGATTTTCACCTTTCCGAACGCTACAGCTACATGGTCAATCAATAAATTTTGAGTAAATTAACGTCCTTAAAATTTCGAAATATTGAAGTTTCAAGAAGATCGAAGGATAAAATTATTACTACAAGAGGAAAAGAGTTTTTAGATTTTTGTTATGATAATGGGCTACTAATTACAAACGGAATGACGAAAGGTGACTATGAGGGAGATTACACGTTTATACAGCGTGGCGACGAATAACTGTTACCCAGGCTTTTTTGCGAAATAAAAAGGTCCTGTATTGATTTTATGAAAAAGTTATTTTATTGTTAATTTTCCACAGATTTTACTTTAGTTGTATTAATTAGTTTTTAAATTTTAATCCTTATTTACATTTGCCAGAAGTGTAAACTTTGAGAGAAAAGTTCATTTGGCACGCAGGTCTTCGTCAGTTAAATTATTCCATATCTTCTGTAACCATAGGCAAATTTTTTCCATTTTGAGTCCCTTATACTCCCCCTTTTGTCCAACATAAGGCCTCATACTCAAAAATCGAATAGACTCGGAACTGGTGACTAGGACAGCCATTCATTCGACCAACCTTAAACTGTTTTTTTTTTCTTTTTTGTATTTTTTTATACAAAACCTAAGAAAAAATACACCTGAAAAAGACTTGCGTGCCAAATGAACTTTTCTCTCAAAGTTTAAAATACTGGCAAATGTAAATAGGGATTAAAATTTAATAACTAATTAATACAACTAAAGTAAAATCTGTGGAAAATTAATAATGAAATACTTTTTTCCCAAAATCTATAAAGGACCCTTTTATTTCTCAAAAAAACTGGGGTAACAGTTATTCGTCGCCACGCTGTAAGTACTATGGGAAATTCAGTAAATGATATATGTGCAGTATCGCAGCAGTTAACAGGAGAGCTTGATGGATCAGATTTGGTCTGATCATTTACCGATTATGCTATCCATTCATGTTCCAAGGTCCAGACCCAAAATAAATTGAAACCTACTTCCAAAGCTCCGTTGGGCTGATAAAAGTGTTAACCAATACCAAGAAACCTACTAAAACATTTAGATAACCTTGCGGGCGAAAAGGAACATCTGAAAATCGCTAATTTGACAAACATAATAAAGAAAGCTAGTGAAAACCTAGGGGAGAATAGGCTCGAACTTGCAAAGTCTAGTAAATGGTTTAACATTAAATGCTTTAAAGCTAGACAGAAATCCTTTAAATATCTGCGTATATACAAACAAACTAATAAAGAAGATAAGGTAGAATACATAAAAGCCAATAATTGCTTCAAACAGGTTTGTAGAGAAGAAAAGACAAGCTATTTTGAGAAATTAGAAAAAAGAATAAATATGGCTAAAGATAGCAAAACGTGGTGGAGTATTGCCGATGAGATCAGAAATAGTAACTCGCAGTCAGTGTTACAAGTATCAGCAGCCGATGTTTGCAAACATTTTAGAACATTATTTAACCCACTGCAAAATTCTCTAGATATACAATACGCGCCAATGCTAATAAGGGATGAGGATCTGGATAAATCTATTACAGTTCAAGAAGTAAAAGAAGTGTTAAAGAGAGTGAAAGCAAATAAAGCGCCAGGAGAGGAAAGAATCCCAAACGAATTCTTCAAACACGCTCCAGATAAGTTTATTGAAAAACTTGCGGAGGTATTTAGTAACTTATATAGGGATGGTAAGATAAATGAAAGCTTCTCTAAACGTATTATATTCCCAATCTTCAAAAAAGGAGATAGTTCATTGCCAAGTAACTATCGTGGTATCTCTTTCATGAATTGTGTATGTAAAATAATGATGGGCGTGCTAACGGATAGATTATACGACTGGGTGAAAAAGCATGAAATTCTAAATGAGTTTCAGGCTGGTTTTAGAAAACAGTACTCTACGGCAGACAATATATACAACTTAGCGGAAATCGTGCATCTAAATTTTCATAGAAACAAGAAAACTTATGCTTTTTTCGTAGACTTCAAAGCAACATTTGATAAAGTCCCTCGGAAGGCGTTGGTTTGCAAATTATATCATCTGGGAGTTTCTTATAAGTTTGTAAAATTCATTGAAAGTATTTATAGCTCAACAACATCGGCGGTGTGGACTGGAAACGAGCTTTCCGAAGATTTTGAAACTGTTTCAGGAGTTAAACAAGGGTGTCTGATGTCACCGCTGCTTTTTGCTGTGTTTCTGAATGATTTGCATGAGGCGTTGGGTGGAGGTACTACATTAC